CTGCACCGTCACACCTTTTTAGACTTGGCATTATTACAGACAATACATGCCCATATTGCGAATCCCAAGAAGGAACCATGGAACATCTGATTTTTGACTGTCAAAAATTCTTGCTTGACAGATTAGTGTTGGCTAGTGAACTCAGTGATGTGAAAATTAAGTGTAATCCTTCATCCCGCCCGCCGCCACTAGAACAGTTGGCCTACCACGAACTCTTAAAACAGGCCAATTTTAGTCGAGAATTGAACGGTCGCTTTATTTTGTACCATAAACGCGATGATAAGCAGGCGAGTCAGCGATCTCAGGTCAGTGGTCACGTGATTAAGATTTCAACGGCTTGGCGTTACCATGAAGTGATATTTGACAGTTGAATATCCGAAAACTGAACTGCCGTGCAGTCATATTTCGCAGGCGTAAAGTAGTAACTTTTATTGAACTGTTTTGAGTGATTTTGAATTAAAAATGTAAGTGATTGTTAATTTGTGCTTAGAATATTCAAGCTACATCATTAAAGACTTTTCTCAGAACAAAATTTCATTATATTTTCCCTTATTTTAGATGTGTGATGAAGACGAAGTATTTGAGTTTTTAGAAGATGATTTCAATAACGCTAAAAAGAAAGTTAGTGACAAAATTAATAGGAATGCCATCCGAAATTTGATCAAACCATTCGAATTGCAAGACGGAATGTTTATACAGCGATATAGGCTAACGAAAGAGTGTGTACTTGAGCTGTGCAATGAGATGAGACCGTTCATGACACAACCTACGAAGTCCACAGATTTGAGTGTAGAAGTCAGATTTGTAGTATATTATAAACATATTTATATCATGGAACTAAATATGAAGTATTAAAAGGACTTAAATTAACAATATAAGGGAAACTTAATATTCTAAATTTATTTATTCAGGTTTTGATCGCGTTGTCATTTTATGCGACTGGATCGTACCAAAGACCAACTTGGGACATAGTTGCACATTCTGTTGCCCAACAAACAGCACAAGTAACCCAGTGCCTTAATCTTCCACATTTCCGACAGAAACATATAAAATTTCCAAATAGTGATAATGAACGTAGAGCTACTATAGTTGGGTGAGTACAATTTACTTCTGTAGGTTTGTTTATATAATAGTCTGGTATGACTTATCAACAATTTTATTTCATATTTTACAAAAAAAATCATATGCCTGGAGTATTAGGATGCATTGATGGGACACATGTTGCAATAAAACGGCCAGTGGAACACGAAGAATGTTTTTACTGTAGAAAATAGTATCATTCTTTGAATGTACAATTGGTATGTGCCTTGCCTTAATTAATATGTTCGACTGTACAGATGGTGTAGTGGTTTAAGCGGTCAGCTCGCCGCATCCTACTGTGCAATGGGTTGTAATGGGTTCGATTCCCGCATGGGACAACACTGTGTAATCCACAAATTTTTGTTCTGAGTGTGGGTGTTCTTTGTGTCTTTTTCATGTATGTTTTTGAAGTCCCCAGTGACACAATGTGGGAGGTGCCTTTTTTAATAAAAAAAAACAATAACAAAAGAAATATATAATTCAATTAATTGTACATACATTGATTATGAAAATGTGCAAAAAAAATTTAAACAAGTGGCTTGCATACAAATACACTAATCTATACAAATAAATAAAATTGGAGTGTCTGTATGTAATATTAAAATAACCGCTTTTTACTAAATGCATATGTATGTTTACACGGTACATATGCCAAAATAACATTTTTTACAATTATTGTCTGTCTGTCTGACTGTTTGTTTGTTCCGGGTAATCTCTGGAACGGCTGGACCGATTTCGACGGAACTTTCACTGGCAGATAGCTGATGACATAAGGTGTAACTTAGGCTACTTTTTTTAGACTAGCTTCGCCGCGCGGCGTTGCCCGCGGTTATAACAACAAACGCGGGTAACACCGCGGGTCTTAGCTAGTTAATTAATATAATCAGTGTACAAGTGATACTTCAATCAGCTTATTTCTCATCTTCAGCTTCATTCAGCTTAGTTTTCCTCTTTTATATTTATATTAGATTTCTTAGATTGTTGCAAGAAGTTATTTCTGAAACAAAAAAAATATTGCCTCTATAAGTTATCAAAAGACTGATTATTTTTAGGTATGCAACTCTGACATGGAAATAATTAGTGTGGATGCCAGCCATGGGGGAGCAACTCATGATGCCTTTATATGGGGTCACCATCCATTAAAAGCTATTATGGAACAGTTTAATAACACATGGTTTTTAGGTTTGTATTCTTTTTCATCACAAAATCTACCGTAAGCCAATGTAACTAATAACTGATATATTGATGCTAGTATTTATTAAGATTCATCAGAAAACTTTTTTTTTAGGTGATTCTGGCTACCCTTTAAGAAAAAGCATGATGACTCCAGTTGTAATACGTAAATAAATAAATAAAATACGAATACGAAAATAAAAATAAAATACGAAAAGTAGATTGTCTTGTAAATTACAGCCCTATGGCTACAGTAATAAAAGAACTCTATTAAATAATTGAGAACTATTAACCTTTTTTTATTTAAAACATATTACTTACATGAGTAAGTTCTGTCTCCATTGATACTTGAATTCCTGGGAGACCCGAGCCGAGGTCTTCACCAAGAATTAACAGAAATTTTAATTCTATCTCTGTCAATTCCGGTACTGTGGAAGGGCCACCTCCAGTACTTAGGTGAGATGCCCTAATACTGGCACACTTTCTTTTTATTCTGCCTTTGTAATCTACCCAATACTGAAATGAAGAGTTGATTGAACAATTAACATATACATATTATTATAGTAATACGTAAATTCTATAGAAAATATAGCACCAACTCACATTAGACCAACTTTTCCAATCTTTGATAGCACCACCCACGATAGAGTTCAAACATTCAGATACTTCTGTCCACATTCGCCGACATGTTGCGCGAGGTTGAGCACTTTTATTAAACCCCACAGCAACATCTCAGTGAGTATTTAAGAACTCCCACATGACTTCTAGTTGCTCATATGAAACTCTTCTGGACGTCATTGTTAACGATGAATAGTTTTCAAAAAATATTTTTATTCAAGTAAGAATTTCAAATTCGCCTCGGAAACTTATTTCAAATTTTTTATGCTTTCAACATAACATATGTCGTTCAAAAATAGGTGACATCTTGGTAGCGTTTATTTTAAACATTATTTATTATTATTTATTTAAGAGGCTAAAGCTCCAAATGTCTCAAAAGATGTTATTTATGTTTGTTTTTAACGAAAGAAACAAAGTTACTTCAAAGTACTTGATATTGAGCTATGATTATTTAAATAATTAGATTCTAGGTTTATAAAACCGGAAAACCGATAACAATTATGAGAAGGATTTTAGAACGTTTGGTTTATGACATTAGTATAGGTTTGTTGTTGCCAAATCGACCAGAGATAATTATTCAGGTCAAAAATTGATACATTGCAGTTCAGCCGAAAAGGTTCATGGTACAATTAGAAAACCTGTCAGGTTATCTGTAAAGTTGAGCTGCTCTGAATTTGGCAGTTTTTTGGAAAGTTCATGGTAGGCCCCCAGTTACTAAAAGACAAAAACACTTACAAACCAATTTATAAATATATTAAAAACACTATTAAAACAATTTAAAATGAACTAAAGTGAAAGTGCAATATTTGTTCAAATAAAATAAGACTTGACTTAAAGGTCTTTGTTACCAGGTCAATAAATCCCAAAAAAAAAAAAAAAAAAAAAAAAAAAAAAAAAAAGTCAATATTATTATTTAAAAAAAATAGGCAGTCTGCAGTCAATTGAAGCAACTGATGAATTAAAAGTAATCAATCACAATGTTAAATTTCAACTAATTAATTAATTTATATTAACTAACTTTCAAAACCACCTACTAGAAAAGTTTATGATGAGTTTTGAACAAATCTTTTGAGTACATCATCAAAAATAAAAAGAATTCGATAAGAGTGTCATTGGCAAATTCGGCCTCAGGGCTTTTACTATCATGTAAAAAAACATTAACTTCTATCTGATATTTTAATTTATAAAATATAATATTTCTTATTATAGGTGTACTGACTTACTCACTAATGCGCTTTAAAGATGAAATAAATTAACTTTGTCATTGGACCCTGCAACTTCTATTTCCAGATCAGGGATGTTAGACGCACCAATGTATTGGTATACGTACCATTTTACAAGGTACCATGTACCAAGTAAATATTGTGTTGGTATGCAATAATAATAACTTTCCACATTGATCATACATCAATTATTTTTTGGTTTAAACAATATATTAGTTCTTGCTGTACATCATAGCTACAACATTGATTATTGTACAGAAATACTGTTCTAATTGATATTTATTTTTGTCCCATTGAGTAACTTACTTCAGATTAACTTTATCAATTGAGCGAATTATCCATGGATGATAGGTATTATTTCGGTAAAAAATAATATAAAAATTGGTCGTTTTGTGTGGTTGTTTTTTCTTTTTTTTTTATTATGTATAGACATTTATAAGATCTTATTATAAAAACGTCAACGAATAATGAGAATAATTATTATTAGTTAAAATATTTGAAAGAACTATTGTGGTTAATTTTTTATCAGCTGTGATTTTTTTCAAATAATCAAAAATGTCTTCAAAATTTTATTTCAAATAACATACAAAACTAACGTTTTGTTATTATTATTTTTATTATTGTAACGTTATTGTGAGAGTACCAACTTTTTTATCAAATACCAGATTTTAGCGCCGTTGAGTGAAATCTGTTCCTACTTTGGCTCACCACAATCCAACATCCCTGATCCGGATGTCAAAGCTGTCAATAAAGGCAAGGAACCGTAGGTATTCGTAATTTTGTATATGTTATGATAAGAGCAATATTCGACACTAATCAGTACAGGAATTAAGATATTTCATCACCGTCTTGCTTCTTATCTACTTGATAATAGGAGTTTGTCTGTTAGCTGGGGTGGTTACAAATATGTCATTAGAAGAGGACCCAAAAGTTAACGTTATGCAGGGTCTTAAAACTGTTTTGTCCAAAATGGAACTTGCTGTCGCGAAACGTAGCAAAGTAAGTAACCGCAGTATACTCTTCACTATCGATTATACCGTTTTAGTATCAAAAGGATGAATAGAAAGCCGCAATATCGGCGAAGTTTATGTATTCTCTAAGAAAAAAGACATTAAAAGGAAAGAAATTCAGATTAAGTCTGAAAATTTCACTAACTTCATAAAATATTAAGTTTATTTAAGTCTTTTACTCTTAGCATGCACATTAGATGTCTAAATCAAGAAAAGAGTGTACTTCTTCTTAAACTTTTCACAAATCCCCTCTGATATGCTAAAGTGCTTTCACCGGTAAGCACTGTACAGTGTAGCGACACATCAGAGGTTAAAGTCTGGCAATGCAACACTTGAGTTGCAGGCATTAATGGGCGGTGGTAGGTAGTAGGTGGTAGCCATCAGGTGTTCTGTTTGCTTGTTTGCCCCCTTATATCATAAAACAACTGGGACTTAATCGTGATGATATAAATGAAGTGTATTTTAAATAAAATGACAAATAAACAAAGGTATAATTTATGTTTATTTGTCATTTTACTTAAAATGATCATGGTGGGATTCCAATTTAGCTTATTGAATTGTCTCTTACTATACTGAATTTTACTTTATTCATTGTCATGGTTTTATTTTATTTAATTTAATCTCTATTAAAACTTGTATAAACATTGTGATAGGCCTACTGCTGTCAACTGCGGAACGAAGACCTAGCAGTTTATAAACATGATATGATAAAAATAAAGTCTGCTTTTAAGATAATTGGTAATATACCTATTAATGTTCTAAGAAAAATAACTTACACTTGTTCATTCTTTAAACTAAATACTTAATATTAATATTTAACAAAACAGAGATCTATGACTTTAGTCTACACAAGAGACAATTTCATTTTTTTTTAAATAAAATGAAGATATTTGAGTTTGAGTTTAATATTATAATTTAAAAAATTCATGCAACAATTATGAATGTATAACAGATATTAAAAATGTCTCACTAACCCAGTCAAGACTATTAATATAAAATTTAATACTATTCATTAGCCAATCAGGTTCCTGTTGTACCAGTTTTCCAGCAGCAATTTTCTGCCGAAAAAAATATGAATTTTCCGGCAGAAAAATCTAATGATTTTTGACTCAGAATCATGGTCTGAATACAATATTTCAGTATTTGTTACGATGTCCCTTACACCCTGTATATATGTTCTATGATAGGAGGGGCCATTAGCACAAAGATGTCAATCTACATAGTACCATAATTACCATATTATGAAAAAAAAAGAAAAAAATCAATAAAAATTAGTACTATTGAGTATCTCCTCAATCTAAACAATTGTGTTCTTGTAACCATTGCCTAAATGTAAAAGTCATAAAAAACCTTTTTTTTTCAGGATCTACCACAGATAGCACCAAAGTTAGTAGCTGTATCTAAAATAAAACCAGCATCTTTGATTTTGGAAGCATATCAAATAGGCCAAAGGGATTTTGGTGAAAACTATGTTAATGAACTTGCAACAAAAGCCAACGATCCTCTTATATTGGAAAACTGTAAAGACATTAAGTGGCATTTGATTGGTCCCCTACAAACAAACAAAATCAACAAAGTGCTTGGTGTACCAAGATTGCACATGATACAAACGGTACATTCACAAAAGTTGGCTGATAATTTGAACAAACAATGGGGCAAATATAGGAAGGAGGAGGTAAAACTAGCTATCATGGTGCAGGTTAATACAAGTGGAGAAGAAGGTACACACAATTTTATACATATTATGTTAAAATTATATTTCATTATATACTAAAATGATATATTAATTTATTAATAATCTAAAATGTGCTAGCCATGCCCAACTTCACCTAATTTCAATAGGACTTCAAATTATCTGAGATATACATAAGGTCACATTATAATTATTTTCTTTTAGTACATTTATTCAATAGGGTAACACCCATTATTTAAAACTGTCTCATTTTTAGATTCTATAGCACTAATAAACCACCAAAAACAAATCTACGAAAAGCACTTTAAAAATACATTTCAAGTCCTGTACACCTAGTAATATATTATGATGAATTTTTATGAGATTTTTACCGTGTATAAAGTGAATCAACCTAACTATTTTCATGTAATTATCATATTTTTAGAACTTTGTTAATACAATTTAAATTCTTCTCAAAAATTGTTACAACTGCAATATCTAAACGTTCAAATGTTGTCATTAAAACATATTTCTAAGTTTTATAAACTTGCCATGCATACAATATAAATTACAAAAACTATATAATTAAAATCGATATTTATGATTTAGCTCACTAGTGTATTGACGGTTCAACAAAATCGTTAACGAATGATTCAGAATTCTATGAAATTGTACCTAATTTAACTTGAATGACAACTCATTTGTGACAGACAGCTGTCATGGGTATCGACTTCAGTACAGCCCATTTGTAAAGTACAAACTGAAATAACTCCAGAACGCAAAGTTCTAAGAATCAGTTAATTAAAACTGTAATTGTCGATGATATTACCATTCAAATAAATACAACAAAAATCCCTACCATGAGATACGCAAGGCAGTACAAAAGTCCCTTACATGTCTGCGATTGTCCTTACCATTTGCAAGGTTTACGCCATATTGCTTTGTGGTCATGACGTCAATTCGGTGTGTAAAGAAATGTGATCAGTTGATATTGACTCTTTTTAGTATACACAGCCGTATGACGTAATCATAGCGTTAGAAAACAACTTAAGGAATCTGTAAACTAACTAACTTTTCTGACTTTTTCTTGCCTAAGCTATCTCAATATTTCCGGGAATCTCCGAAATAGACAAGTTTAATGAAAAAAACTCGTATTCTTTTAATTTTTATGTAGCAACACTATAATCTTTCAGCAAAAAGCGGAATTGAACCGGAAAATGCTTCAAAGTTAGTTGAGCATGTACTAAAGAACTGTGAAAACCTGGATTTCAAAGGTCTTATGACCATTGGAGAATATGACTATGATGTTTCCAGAGGACCAAATCCTGATTTCATCTCTTTAGCAAAGATCAGACAGGAAGTATGCCAGAATTTAAACCTTGACATAAATCAAGTGGAGTTGTCTATGGGAATGTCCACAGATTATGAACATGCAGTAAGTGTAAATCGTAATTTAGTGGTAACTGCTAGTCAAATAAGCATGTACAAAAATATTTGATGTCAGGCTAGTTAAAGTAAATTAAATATGTGAATATTTCTTCACTTGTAAACTATACATATAGGTAGGTATACCAAGCTGTAGGTATGCAACCTACGAGCTATACAATAATTTAACATTATATTGCTTCATGAGGATCTAACAAAACTAATAAGAGCTACAGGTAGAAAGACATTGCTGGCTGTGAGTTTGATAGAAGATGAAAAAGCCGAACCATTGAATGAGAATACTATATGATTTGCATGGAAATAAATTTGGAGCTGGATGCGAAAATCGATCTAAGCGGCGTGCAATAGTGGACAGTACAGTGCCATAGCGGGTGCCAGTGGACTGCGATAGGCTGATGATGACTGATGAAAAAGAATTTACATAGCCAGATTTGTGCATATAACCAATAGCAGACCTAAAATGTACAGATGTGATTCCGAAAAAGAATAGGTTGTATGGATAGAATCTACTTCGTAAGGTGCATACTGAAAAGGGCGTTATGTTCAGCGCTGTGGTCCATACTATCTATGTATAGGTTAAAGAAATATAGAGCTTTACTGGGCGCGGCGTCGATCCGGTGGGACCTGAAATAACATGGTCCAGGTCCTCCTCGGAGTAGGGCGCCTAAGTCCGGCCGTCGGGGTGGTTTTTAGTGGAAACACCACATACTTCTGGCTCCTACATCCCCAACGAGCCGGAGATCCGAAGGGGTTTCCCAATCCGTCAACAAAAAAATAAGTATGTCAATTTTTTTTTATTTCACGATCAGACAGGTCACCTGATGGAAAGTGACCATCGCCGCCAATGAACCGCCGGCCTTTTAGGAAGGAGTACGCTCTTTTCTTTAAAAAACCGCAGACGGTAACCAGTCCTACAGATTGGTTGTACAGGGCAAAAAGTGTCTCGAAAAGCGCACAGTAGTGGAGCGCCAACTATCCAGGTGATGAGGGGCTATCGATGATTCGAGTCGCTCTTCGTTGGATGCGGTCCGAGAGGGAGAAGCTGATACTGAGGTGCCCCTGCATAGAGATGAGAAGAGTATTCCATATGCGGCCGGGCTTGCGCTTTATAGAGCTGAAGGCTGTGGGCTGGAGTGAAATACTGCCTCGTTCTGTTTCTGCACACCGAGCTTCTTCGAGGCTAATTTGCCCTTACCTTCTAAGTGACCCCGAAACTGGACTTCGCTCGAAATGTCGATGCCTAGGATTCCGATGCTGGCTGAGGCAGTTTGAGATGTGCCTTTAAACCGAGGTGATACGACAAATGGTATCTTCAGACACAAGTTTGTAGTTATTCTACTAGTTCAGTAAATTAGTGGAACCATTAAAAAGATAATACAATAGATAAATGTTAGTTTCTTGGTGACCGAAATATACTGTGCTTAATAAATGCCAATGAAAGCTTGACCAGAATTTCCTAAAAGAAATACTTTATCCTTTAGGTTTGTCCTTTAGAAAATTCTGGTGAAGGTGTGCTACACATAATTTTATAATATGCATTTGTCACAAAATCGTAAGATAATGTTTCTTTTATATTTTTAGATTGAAATGGGAGCAACAACAATACGTGTTGGTTCAACAATCTTTGGACTACGACCACAAAAAAATCAGGAAATTGAATCTCAATGAATGATTATAAAATTAGTAAACTATAGTACACCAATACTAATAGTCTGTTGAAAATAGCTTCAGACCAAATGAAGCTAATTCATAAATATTTATGTTGCATATTGTATACTGTTATAATATAATACATGGGCTTCCAATAGTGTTAATTCTGTTTATTATTATTTCGAGTGTATTTCACCCAAACATGACCATCATCATTAATCTATGAATCAACTTCTCTATTCGACAAAATAATATTGAAAAAAATTATTTTATTTATTTTAAACAGCTCACTTCACCGTGTCTCACTGCTAGATTGGTGTTTGCATACTTCGCATACACATTCCATAGCCTGAAACTGTTAAAGACCCATTTCTTAGCGTTCCATGGATTCACCGTGCGGGTGCCGGGTCCATCGCGTGATAGACACGACCCAGGGATAGGTTTAGGGAGTACTAACCATTCTTGATATGAGCCTAGCATTGCCGCTTTGGATATTCGTTTTAGAAAAGAGCTTACTGAAGCTCTTGGCAGTCCAAGATCTTTAAGCAGGTTTTAAAGGGATTTAGCTGGTATTAACCGCGCATCCACTTCCACGGCATACGACGCAACGAAATAACCATTCATCATAACTCTTAACGCCCGACAAGGGTTTGTAAAAAAGTGTTTTTTTTCTCATGCTTTGGGAACATCGAGTGTATAAAAAAAGCCGTTTTGTTTTCGTATTTCGTATTCCATACTATCATCACTTGATTTTAAAATCCGTCATTGTTCATTCATTGCTAGAGTAAGAATTACGAATAAAGTGTTCTCGTTCATTCGAATGATTGGAATAGTGTCATTCATCATTCACTGCTGTTCAACAGTTCCACACTCGGACTCAGTCGAGCAGAAATAGCAGTGTCGGGCTAGTTTCTGAACGTAACGGTAAACGCACGCATACCGTTTTTATAAATCGAATTACCGAAGAAAGTTTGTGAGTTAAATTTCGAAAATAAACAAAAATTAGAACTAAATTTTCGACTGCACTAGCACAAAAGTGATTTTTAATTGTGTGCGTGTGTTGTGAATTGAAATATAGTGCTATTTACCCACAGTGAAGTGTGGGAGTTCTTAATTTTTGTGTCAACAAGTTTATATCCTCTTTTGAAAGTTATTCAAAGAAGGTCACGATATACAGGTAAATATACTTTTATCTTATATTATCCTAAGATGCGGTATCAGTTTGCGTTTATTTTAATGTATATTAAAAATATCTAGTGTGGATGGTAACTATTGCGAGAAAGTGTTAATTACCTACTCAGAGTCAAATCAGAGGAGACGTACCCTGGACATTCATTCTATCTGTCATTCATTTATAGTTTTGGAATGCATTACTTTTTGTATTTATCTAATGTATGGATTACGTACAGGATACAAATCAAAACATTAATATTTAATTATGTTACATGACATCTTCAGTCTAAGGCTTTTGTTTTTATTTTAAATTTTGACAGTTAGTAATAGAAATAAAAAACAAATCACACATCTTCGCCTCTATGCTTTTAGTTATTAACGCCTCTCGTCATCATCTCGCCACTCTGTGTGAATGTGCTAAGTGACCTTACTTATTTGCACACGTCATGTGAATTCAAACAATTAACTATATTATTTATTAAGCTAATCTAAGTAAACTTATGAAACATTGATAACTTAACATTGATGGTCTCTGAAGGGCCTGTTGGTTTGCTTGCTTGGCTGTTGGACTGCTGACCTAAGGTGTAGGTTTAACTCCCACCTGTGACATAATACCGCATCATATTTCTACATCACCTGAGAGAATGCCTCATGGCATTAAGTCCGCCTTTGTACAACATGTGCACTAAGTTGTAAAATAAATAAAATATAAATTTGTATGATGAGCATGATCATTTGTTCTGTTTCTGAATGAACTTTATCTGTAATATGTTTGTATTTATGAAAAGTAGTCCGATAACTATAGTACAGGCATTGCTTTGCTTGGAATTTTACTTATAAAACTTGACACCTCAAAGTAAGTTCTATTTCTATGTATGCACATATGTATGCTCACTCATGCAAGTGAGATATATTTATAAATACTATTGGCACATTTGGATACAGATTGTGGCAGTGTCTATTATAGACCCACAGCCTTGCCATATTTGTTTAATTAATCATAATATGTGTATCCATCTAGTGTAATAATTATTGTCTACAATTGGTTTTATGCATAGTCACTTAGGCTCGAATTGAATACCACTGTCAGGCTTTTATTTATTTCTAAAAGGCACACTTACAGATTACTGCCATTACATGTTACAGGAAACATTAGGTACATATTAAGTCTAGACAGTGATCTTTTGTCTGCACAATGCTGAATTGGGTCTGTTTTAGCACTAATAGTAATTCAAGCTGCAAAAATTGTTTGTAGCCAAAAAAACATGTTTTCTTTCTTTCACCAGTGGTCATGTCGGACTCGAACCAACCAAATGCATGCAACCAAACATGCCGTCTCGGGTACCAGTAGCCGGCAAACCAGGTGTACTCTAGAAATTACATCCCTGTGATAAATTGCACCGTAACACAATGTAATATTGTGCTCGTCACATAATTATTTGTCCTGGGTGGGAACTGAACCCATGACCATTGGCTTAGAAGTCAGGGTCTTACTTACTGACCACTAGACCATCAAGCCTTAAATGATATAGTAATACATTTTATGGTTGAA